TTTGCTGATAGAAGGGGAGGGTCATGACAGGACAATAATTTGAAAGTGGGGAGGAGTAAAATGACTCTCTTCAGAAGAAGTGATGATGAGGTGAGTAGTGTTAGTGATCCTTTTTTGAGTGCAAAATGGAAAGATCCAGTGTATAGATTGATGATGGTGACATGATATGAGGCACTAAAGAAAGAGAGGTAACTAGACAGCTACTGAGTTTGGCAGGAGGTCCTTTGAAGAGATGCTGTTTAATCCTAAAAATGAAAAGCTGACATTTATGCACAGAAGCTGCAATGGAGCATAGCAGTTCAGAGATTCTGCTTAGATAAAACCTCACATTATGCAGAAAACTAAAACATGAGGGACAAACTAATTGTAGGAGCAGCAATTTTCTTATGTTTTCAGTCTTCCAGTGTCCCAGCTCCTGGATGATAACCTTTGGTACTTGTATTGCACTTGCAAAGAGACAGTAGAGCAAGACAACCTTAATTCTGGCATTTCCTAACTTTGAGTACAACCTTAATGTTCTTTTAACATATTTTTGTGTGTGGGTGTGTAATATTAAATTATACTGGTAGTTTAACTGTTCTTAGAGTTTCTTTCTTAGAATGAAATCTATCCCAGACAGAGTTGTGTTTAGCACAGCTAAGCAGGGGCAAAGATCTGCACTGGTCCCCAAGGGTTGTAGCATTCCGGTCATGTACCGGCATGCTTCTGTGCCAGGAGCTTTGGGGATAATGTAGAAATGGTTATGGTGGATTCTCCCACATTGGAGGAATCCTTTGCTGTCTGGTTAAGCTGGCTTTACTGTCCATTTGTACCTTCGGAATAGCTCAAAGGGGCCATTGTAAGGGCATGATCTGGCTCTGTAGTTTTAAATATGCCATCATGTCCTCTTTACTAATAGTTTCAGGAACTCCATGCACATAACAATGCTGGAAATTGTTTGCTTATAAGAAAGATTTAGAACCAAATTCATCCCTAATTTAACTTCATTGAAGTCATTGGTGACAGAACTAGCTCTTGAAGTCACTGTAGTTAAATCAAGGACAAATTTGGTCCTTGCTCTCCCTCCTTATTTTAATACAACCTTAAGAAGTTCAGCACTTTGGTAGTTATACAAGGCTTTTGTTATAACATGGGTGACTTTAGTGGGATTTTACTTTTTTAAAGAGCTAATATACCGTATGGTAGCCATGTTTCAAGATGATGGAGTCACAGAGCTATGAATGAGTGTGCACCCTCAGAAGCTGAGTCCTTTCCCTTTTGCATTATTCACTGAAGAAAAGCATCTGGTAAATAATTTTAATTTTTTTCTTTCATATTATTTTCAGGTGTCTATTGATGGAAATGAAAGTGTTAGTAGCTCAGGAATGATAGGTGAAAATGAACAAGAGAAAAAAATGCAGGTATGTAATACTGTACAATATAATTGGATCCACTGGATTTTATTTTCTCTGTCTCTTCTATGCCCAACAGTCTTTACAGTGCAACTGTTCACCTTCCTCATAACAGCTGGAAGCACGCCAAATCATAGGTGCTGGAACTAGGGGTGCAGGGGGTACTGCAGCATGCCCTGGCTTGAAGTGGTTTCCATTATATACAGGGTTTACAGTTTTGTTCAATGGCTCTCAGCATCCCCACTATACAAATTGTTCCAGCACTCATGTGCCAAATATTTAGCTCTGAGCCAGGTCCTTGGGCTGCCTATCAGGAGTTCTCTGACTCCAAACCTGTGCAGATGACAGGCTCCATTTCTCCCTTTATAGAAGAATAATTCATGGGATTTAAAAAATATTTACATTCAATCACCATCACCAGCTGCCACTCCACCAATGTATACAGTTTGGGGAGACAGTGCCCCCTCCAACTCTGCCCATGGCAGGCCACCTAGGTCTGTGTCACATCCCAGCTTTGGGCTGATCAGTTAGACTCTGAGCATGTGGGCAAGACCCACCAGCCAGACACCTGGGAAAGAATTCTCTATAGTAACTCAGAGCCCTTCCCATCTGGTGTCCCATCACCAGCCGCTGGAGATATTTGCTGCTAGCAGTTGCAGATCAGCTACATGCTATTGTAGGCAGTCTCATCATACTATAACCTCCATACATTTATCAAGCTCAGTTTTGAAGCCAGTTAGGTTTTTTTACCCCTTCTACTCGCCTTGGAAGGCTGATACTTCACTCCTCTAATGGTTAAAAACCTTCATCTAAATTCAAGCCTAAACTTACTGATGGTCAGTTTATATCCCTTGATTCTTGCATCAGCACTGACACTGAACTTAAATAACTCCCTGATATTTATCCCTCTAATGAATTTATAGAGAGCAATCATATCTTAGCCTTCTGTTGGTTAGGCTAAACAAGCCAAACTCTTTGAGTCTCCTCTCATGGGTAGGTTTTCCATTCCTTGGATCATCCTAGTAGCCCTTCTCTGCACCTGTTCCAGTTTGAATTAATCTTTCTTAAACATGGGGGACCAGAATTGCACATGGTATTCCAGATGAGGTCTCACCAGTGCCTTGCATAATGATACAAACACTTCCCTGTCTCTATTGGAAATACCTTGCCTGATGCATCTTTAGTTCAGATATTTTTAATAAGCAGTATCCATTGGTCCACACACATGCAGTTGTTCTTCTCTCTCTGAACTGAGGGTATAAGGGAACTGGCATCTCTCCAGTTCCTCATTACTGCCAGATGGCCTGAGTTGGAACCTTTGTCTAGTTTCTTCTTCAATTGTGTTAATCTGTAATTATATTTTAAATAGTTTTAGTATTTAACTCTTTCAGTTTTAAGTACTAGTGTGGTTGGTTTGTTGTTTTTCACTGTTGGAATTAGGATTATGTCCAGACTCCTGGGGTTCAAAAATTATCCCTGCTGCTTTTTAGTGAGCAACATACACCAACTCTGCTGTTGCTGCCTAGGTGAGGCTCACATCTCAGTGAAGTACAGGATTTGCTGCTCCTTCCCTCCCAGAACTCATGATGGTGAATAACTAAGACTTAGAAAACATCTGATGGAGAAAGCCATGAGACTCCAATTAGATCTGGGTTGGGGAGACCCCCTGTACATGAGCCTCAGTCAACAGGCAGTCCAGAAGCTCATGAGTCGAGGCTAAGACTTCCAAGACTAAGGAGAAGGCTTCTCATGAGAGTAAAGGAAACTCTTACAAGCATAGAGACAAACCTTCTTCTTCCAAGGATGCCCCCAAGAAAAGAGATCCTTTTCTGACTCCTTCAAGGTCAGAACAGTCCTCACACATGGGTCCTCTAGATTTTGCTAGAGTAAACCTCCTCAGCAGGAAAAAGTGACCAGAAAGAGTATGGATCCCTCAGTTGCGGCTTTTGTGGCTCACTGGCTTTTGACAGGCAGATCATACAAGGAGGTCCAGTTGCCAACCTAATTCCTCCTCTGTATACTACATTCCCTAGGAATTTTTACCAACCACAAAAAGTCCACTTTGACCACCCACAAGGTCCTAAAACTTCTTAGGAGCAATCTTAGACTCAATGACAGCAAACGTCTAGCTACCTGTTGAAAGATTCCATGCCATGGGCAATCTCATAAAACAGGTCACCCTCGGACTTCAGTTAGACTTGCCTTTTCTGCCTCAGCCACATGGCCTCATGTGCACACCTGATGCCATTTGCCAGGCTCCATCTCCATTATCTGCATACCTTGCTTCAGTCCATCTACTCACCAGAAAAAAATCAACATCAGTACCAATTAACAGTTCCATCCAAGGTTCTAGCCTCTCTTGTCCAGTGGACAAAGCTGGAGAAAGTTCAAGTGGGGACTCCTTTCCTCACACCTACACCTGAGGCGAGTATCATTATAGATACTTCCCTCTTACATGGGGGAGATCATATGAACAATCATACTGCACAAGGCAACTGGACCCCTCGGGAGTCCAGGTTGCATATCAGTTTATTGGAATTAACAGTGGTCTGTCAGGTCTGCAACACTTTCCTCCCACTCATTCATATCATGACATATCCAGATAATGTCAGAGAGTATGTTAACTGTCTTCTATATAAAAAAGCAGGGAGGAACAATATCCCTTCCTCTGTGTGTAGAGACAGTCAACCTCTGGAATTGATATATCAGACATCAAGTAACCCTTTCTGTGGCATAGTTACCAGTTGTGCAGAATTCCCTAGCACTGGGATCCTTGCTATTCTAGAATATCCACTTATCCTTAAGGCATCGGGTCTCTCTGTTAGCTCCTTTTGGGGTCATTTAGCAGCAATCAGTGCTTTTCATCTTCCTGTCAACTCATCCCACGACAAATAGATTCCTTAAGGGACTTCTTAGATCCTTCCCACGACTGGTGAAGCCAAGACCTTAATAGGACCTCAACCTCATTCTTTCATCTCTCACCAGACCTCCTCCTGAACCTTTAGCCACATGGACTAAATTGTTTCTTATTTATTGAGCCCTGGTAGTATTCTCAGCCCCATATAAACCTAGAAAAAGACAGTTCCTGCCCTGCCCTGAATTGATAATCTAACCAAAACATAGATTGCACAGTCCAAATATGCAGGCATAGAGTAAGGTCTAAACTTCAAGCCAGAAATGCTTTTTAAAAATTTGTTTGTTTTTTAAGTCTATATTAATTATTTGAGGGGTTATTATTTAAAAGCCTCACAGAAGAAGTGTGTTTTAAGGAATGATTTGAATAAAGAGAAATAAAGTTGTTTGGTAGACCAGTCTGAGAGGAAATTCCAATTTCAGGAGCTGCATTGAAGAAGGCATGAAGACAAGAACGGGAGAAGGAAATGAATCTTACTGGACATTAGGGAGAGTAGATTGGAAGGAAGGCAAGCTTCAGGAGGAGACTCAGCAAACACAATAACTGGCAGGGTGGACTGAGTCAAAAGACATCAACTAGGATTAACTCTTGTTATTTCTTATTTTTTAAATCTGATTTTTGTCTAATTGGTTATAAAAGTCTTAAATGACTTACATGTTGTCATATTTGTTTTATCCTAGATTGTCTTGCAAGGACATGGAACAAGAGTGACAGCTAAATCTCAGCCAAGTGGAGAGAAGGCTTTTCGCTGTGAATATGATGGCTGTGGAAAATTGTACACAACAGCTCACCATCTTAAGGTAATTGCAGAATGAGGGTCAGTAGATTGCAGGCATTCTTTGGTTACACAATTACATGGACAAAAGTAATGGAAACATACAAGAAGTCAGACATGAGCATTCTTTTATCTTACGAAATCTCCATCAGTAGGATGTTCTAGATGCCCCAGTTCCTCCAAACTGTCATGCTTAGTGTTCTGAGATGAGGCCCTTTATAGAAAGTTGAACAGGTAATGGACTTCAGAGTGGTAGCCGTGTTAGTCTTTATCAGCAAAAACAACGAGGAGTCCTTGTGGCACCTTAGAGACTAACAAATTTATTTGGGCATAAGCTTTTGTGGGCTAGAACCCACTTCATCAGTTGCATGGAGTGGAAAATACAGGAGCAGGTATAAATACATGAAAAGATGGGAGTTGCCTTACCAAGTGTGAGGTCAGTCTAATGAGACAATTCAATTAACAGTAGGATACCAAGTCCACGAAAGCTTATGCCCAAATAAATTTGTTAGTCTCTAAGGTGCCACAGGTAATGGACTGTTATCAGTGGGCCAGCAAAATACACCCCACACTTTGGGAAACGCTGCCAGAAAACATGAATTAAACAAATGCATCACAGCTGAGAACTGGAAAGACCAGCAGGAAAAAAGGTTGAACGTAAAGATTGTCAATCTTCTGATTGTCAAAGCAGGATGAATGCAGATGTGTAAGGTTCCTATATTGCAAGTATCAAAAAGTATGTCACTTATTTCATCAAGATAGCCACCATCAGCAGTAGCCTAGAGATGCTACAATTAGAATTTAATTTCCATGTTTATATATGATGGAAAGCTCTGCTCTATCATGTGAATTCCCATATTGCTGTATTGTGATGTTTAATTCTTTAGAGTGATCAAATATTCAAAGTTGAAAAGTTGGAACAGCTCTTGTTTCTCTACTCACTCCCTGGTTCCCTTTCTCAATCCCGTGCTTAGCTCTGGTACACGGAACATGTAGAGAAGTACAGATGCCAACTAGGTTAGTCACTTGCAGATGGGGGAGGGTGCAATCTTGCCAGTGATAGTGCAGTCTAGAATCAGTCTCTCGCTCCATGTGAATCTAATCCTGTGATGGAGTACTGGCTAGAAGTCTCATGCAGCAGGGGGAGGATCACTGGGAGGCCTCATAGGGATTGAGGGAAGATTAGAAAGTTGGCAACCCTAAACTCCAATCGCATAAAACCAAACACCCTTGCCCCACCCCGCCCTGAAGCTCTGACTCTACCCCTTCCCCTAGGCCCCACCCCCCGCTCACTCCATCCTCCCTCCCTCCATCGCTCGCTCTCCCGCACCCTCACTAACTTTCACCGGGCTGGGGCCTGAGATTGGGGTACGGGAGGGGGTGTGGGCTCTGGGGTGGGGCCAGATATGAGGGTTTCAGGGTGCAGGAGGGGGCTCAGGGCTGGGGTAGCGGGTGCAGGAGGGGCTGCGGCTCCACCTGGGGCTGTGGGCTCTGGGGTGGGGCTGGGGATGAGGGGTTTGGGGCTCAGGGCGGGGCTCAGGGCTGGGGTAGGGGGTTAGGGTGCAGGCTCTGGGAGGGAGTTCGGGTGTGAGAGGGGGCTCAGGAGGTTGGGGTGCAGGAGGGGGTATGGGGTGCGGGCTCTGGGAGGGAATTAGGGTGCGGGAGTAGGTTCTGACCTGGGGCAGGGGGTTGGGGTACAGGCGGGTGTGAGGCTGTAGCCAGGTTGCGTGGCCAATGGGAGCTGCAGAGCCGGTGCTTGGGATGGGGGCAGCGCACAGAGCCCCTGTGGCTGACCCTGCGCCTAGGAGCCAGACATGTCAGCTGCTTCCGGGAGACACGCAGAGTCAGGGCATTCAGGGAGCCTGCCTTAGTCCCACTGTGCCGCTGAACGGACTTTTAATGGCCTGGTCAGTGGTGCTGACCGGAGCCACCAGGGTCCCCTTTCAACCAGGCATTCCAGTCGAAAAGCGGATGCCTAGCAACCCTATTGGGGTGGAGTGTAGCCCTTGAGACACACATGCACACAGCCAGACTACTGTCAATATTGCCAGTTCAGCTGTTTAGTGACCCCTTCAGTTGGCTATTCTGCATGTTTACAAAAATAGGACAAATCACCTGTTTCAATAAAAGTGATCAGGGCATCAAGTCAGATCCTGAAAACAGAGACATTACTACTTTTCCAGAACACATCATTATCCTATTTTTAAAAAACCTTTATTACTGTTTAAAAAAAGAACACTTCTTAAGCAGTTACTTCTAAGAAGAGAGACTAAACATGTAATTTTTGACAATGAAATAGTTTTTATATTCAAGAAAGCAAACAAAATACTGTATTATATCAATGTGGTGGATGTCTTTTAACAGGTGCATGAAAGGTCACACACAGGAGATCGACCATATCAATGTGAACATCCTGGTTGCGGCAAAGCATTTGCAACAGGTAATGTTTTGTGGGAGTGTGTTCTCCTGTTTGCTAGGGCCTGTCTGTCTCCTTATAAGCAGTTGCTGTTTCAAAACAATCTTTTCTTGGTTTTTGAACATGATTTTAATACATAGAAACAAAGAGATGGGGTTAAAAATACCCTGAAACATGAAAGATTAAGAAGATTGCATGAAGAACTCCTTCCATTGTAATATAGAAAGCCTGTAGGCATACTAATATAAGCAATACTCGGCTGAAAGGCCAACACAGAAACAACTGCACTTCAGTGACTTCACATAAATTTAGTTGCACTGTGTTTGTAAAGCAATTTTAAAATTATAGTACAAGGGTGGCCAAATTTACTGACCCTCTGAACCACAAATAACAATCTTCAGAAGTTTGAGAGCTGGGGCGCACCTGCCAGAACTCAGAGCTTCAGCCCCGTGAGAAGAATCTGTTGGGGCTCAGGGCGTTAGCTTTGAGGGGAAGGGGGTTTCAAGCCTTCAGCCCCATGGGAGGTGCCTCCCATTCTTTGGGGCTGAAGTCCTGCTCCTGCTGAAGCCCTGGCAGGTGTTCCCCGTGGGGCTGAAGCCCTGAGATCCCCCTCCCCGCTGGGCAGAAGCCAGAGGTGATGCATGGGGAGGGCATGTGGGGTCACGTTCCCCCCCATTTCCCTGCCAAATTTTTGCTAGGGTTTGCTGACCCTACTCGGTCTCATAGTGTCGCCGGGCCTCCTCCCTGCATGGCAGCTGCTGGAGCTGGCAAATTGAGAGCTGTGACCATGGGGAGAAGCAGCAGCAAACAGCTAGGAACTACAGGGAGTGCCACTGCTTTTGCTGCTGCCTATCCCTGCAGATCCCAGCTGTTTGCAGCTGCCTCTCCATGCAGAGCTAACACCTGGGAGCTGCAGGGAGGGGCCGCTGAGGGTAAGGGGGGGGATGTATCTGGGGGTTGTGACTCAAGTGTTTGGAGAGGCTGAACCTTTACATTTTGTCCCCCCACTATCAGCAGCCACCTGTCATCTCTGGCAGAAGCCCCTCACCCCACTGCAGGGCAGAAGCCCTGAACTCTCCCTGGCAGTCTGGTAGGTGGAGAATGGGGGGAGCTCTGCGAGCCACACTTTAGCTATGCAAGAGCTGCATGTGGCTTGCGAGCCGCAGCTTGGCCATCCCTGCTGTATACCATTGCAACAGACAGAAGGACAAATATATTACCTTTTTTCCTATTAATGTCTAAGTGTATTTTAGGTCAGTTATTGTACCAGTTGAGCCTGGCAAACCCTGCAAATGTTTAAATGCATCTTCGAGGATTAAATGACCTGGATTAAATAGTAGTAGCTTTTCTGAGTTGGATTCTGAGGCTGTATTTGTGTTGTAGAAGTAAGAAAGAACACAAGTTAGAGGATTGGCTAACTTGGTAGACTCACTTCATGTTTTCAAATAGTGTTTTTTAATCAAAACTTCAACTGTAATGGAGATATAATGGCAGCACATTGTAAAGTTAAATCAGGAACCACATTCTGAGAATCCATGGCCTTTGCTTAGTAGAAATGTGTATATCACTATGGGGCCAGGGAAGATGCATGTTAGTCTGTCTTCAGCAACTCTTTCTGGGTTCTTTGGTTCCACATTTTTCTAGGGGACTAGAGATAGGATGCTCTCAGTGGAAGGTCCTCTGCTCAGAAACTAGCCCCCACCTTGTCACTTCAGCAAAATCCCCATTTTGTTGTCCCTTCAGGGCACAGTGCAAGGCAGTCTATTTAGGGCCTAATCCAAAAACCATTGAAGAGAATGGGAGTCTTCCCATTGAGTTCAGTGGCCTCTGGATTAGGCCCTTAAAAGTCTCAGTATTGTTATTTATCACAGGATTATTGCTCTAGATATTTGTCTTGGAAGGGGAGATTGTCTGTGGTTATTGCATAATGTGTTTCTAAAAAATGAAATAGCATCCGGAGGCTTGACTGATGGGTGCAATTTTATAACTCAGAATAGTCGTTTGTAAAAATAAGAAGCCAATAAATAAATGGGAGCCACGTGCCAGTTGTGTCTGAATTCAGTGGGAGCAGGATTGGACTCTGTCTGAAACTATTATGATGGGAGTAGCTGCTAAGAGAGAAAGCACAGATTGTTCTGGACTTTTTTACAGAAGTTTGAGCAAAGGTTTGACCACTTTGGTATAATCACCAGAATTTGTCCCATTGTGAGGAAAAGGAGAAAATTTTGAAAAAAGTACACTTTTTCTTAAATAAAGTGAAAGAGGATTTCTAAAATGCAAGCAGTGCTTTGTTGATCTGGTTATGTGACCAATGATGTGTTTGGAGAGTGAGATGAATAGAAGAACTGATTTTTGTTACTGATTGATCAGAGGATTTCATAACTGGACTGGTTAGCACAGCTTTTGTGACCAGATACATTCTGAATATTAGATATATTTCTATTGCAGTATTGTAACAACTAAGATTTTGTTTGCCTTCTCTCCCCCCTCTCCCCCCACCTTTCGACTTTGAAAATTGTCTTCAAGGTTATGGATTAAAAAGCCATGTCCGAACCCATACTGGAGAGAAGCCCTATCGGTGTACGGAGGAGAACTGCACCAAGTCATTCAAGACTTCTGGGGACCTGCAGAAACATATCAGAACCCACACAGGTACAAGGAGTCTTTACAACGGTCGCGCTCTCTCTCGCGCTCGCTCTCTCTCTCTCTCTGCTTTCTTGGTTCTTTGTTTTAAATTAAAATCTATTTAGATAGACACACTATAGAAGGAATTTAACTCTTTGCTTGTTGAGTGACTTGTACTTGTGAAATCAGAATAAGTATACTCTGCCTTAGCGCACAACTGCTCTCAAAAGTCCCCTTTGAAGCCTACTTGACAAAACAGTGTTTTAGCATTGCAAACACTGTTGCAAGTCCTTAGCACTATAATAATGCTCCTCATCTCAACATACAATTTTTTTTGGAACAGTGCATAGGCCTTCACACTGCTATTGCAGTTGCACTATCTTTGAACCAGGTGTATCACCATTGCATCTTACACTGACTGAGTCAGTCTGCACCTTTGCAGTGCCACTGTGGATAAAAAGTACTAGAATTGCAGCTGCAGCAGAGCAATTACTCCTCCCAGTGCCAACTCTAAGTGCTGCTACTCATCCTCCAGTGACAGTTTTGTCATTTCAGAGCTAGCTGTCAAATATCTTGCCTACCAGCTGTGTGCAGGACCAAGAACTGTGGTACTCAGCTTGTCTTGGCTCTTCCTGTTTCCCCAACACCCTCAGAGCAGCAGGGAAGGACACAAAAAGATCATGCAAAAAAACAAAAAAACAGTTTTATTAAAACTTTTCAGTTGTGTAAAAAATAAAATCTTTTGGTGTGTCCCATACAGAGGTGGATCACTTGAAAAATAAAAAGAACAAAAATCCCTTATTAGCAGCAGCTATATGCATGGAAGCCGTATATGCACACACCATCCACTTACTATAATAGTTGTTGTATTGACAGTCTGTACATCTATGGAATGTCACCTTCACTCCTGAGATCTGAAAAAGGGACATAAATTTAAAAATACACAGCCAGGATTACCACCTAACGCCTACTCAATCTCTAATGCCACTAAATACCTCAGGATAGTGCTCCAGCTCCTCCTTGTTCTTCCTCCCCCAACCAAATACCCTTGAAGAGAGAGAGAGGAGTGGTCCCCCAATTTATTAGATGGGGTGGAATAGCGGGGAGCTTGTTGGACCACATGGAGGACGTTCTTCCTCCAGACCCTGGCCTTGACCTCCCACATCTTTGGATTTTAGAGGTTAAAAAAAGAGAGAGGGAAGGAAACCCTTAGTTGTACTTCAGATCCAGAAAAGAGAATCAAAACCACGGGCAAACAACAATTCTAAAAACTATTGAAAGAATAAAATCATTCCATCTTCCTGAGCTTCCAGATCCAAAGTCAATCTGCCAGTGGGCCAGGGGACACTTGTGATTCTTCACAATGATATCTGTGTGAGGGCATACCAGTGTTCATCACCTTCTCCTCCCAGCTCATATGCAGATCTTTGTTGAGAACTGAATCATATTAATGCAGTCATTACACAGTGCAGACAAATACATATTTAGATATCATAGATTAGTGTTCTCTAAATTTTTCATAGGATGGACCTCATCTTAAATAGAAAAATTGTCCGGTGGACTGCCCCTCCTCTCATTTTTGCAATCACATATATTTGACAATTACAGCATTTGCTTACATAGAAAAGTCATATTAGTAAAGAATGTTATGTATTTTAATGCAATTTAGCATCTGCAACTAAGGAGTTGAGCCAGCACCATGTAACCAACCAGCTCTTCACAGACCACCAGCAAGTCTTTCACAGTCCATCGATGGTCCATGGATGGTTTGGGAACCTCTGCCACAGACATTGGATGCTTTGCCAGGAATTATGAATATATGCAACAGTACACAGGCTCAGCAGTAGTTGCAGTGAGTTCTGTTTGTGGATAAACAGAGTGATGCAGGCAAAACAGGATGACTAATGTGGATGCACTGAACCAGTGCAAGTTGCACAGTGCAGTTCTCTTCTGTAGACAATGCCAGAGTCCCTCAACCCTGATTGGCATTACGAACTAAAGCTGATATTGATCAATGCAAGATCTGCTGGTAACAACAAAAAACACATGCCCTCATCAGTGATGAGGCACCTGACATAGTCTGCATCACCAAAACCGGGAAGGATGACTCCACAAGCCCTGGGTTGGTGCACTTCATTCCCCCAGGTTTCTCCATATATCACAGACCTAGATAGCACAAGAAGGCAGGTAGTACTGCATTCATCTTTTCTACAAACCTGAAATGCAAGAGATGTGCCTCAGGTAAGACCACTTCATTTGAACTTATTCATCTCACAGTAGAAACCAGAGCCAAAGCTAACGTAGATTTTATGCTCACTTACAGACCACCGCAGACTAAAGGGTTCACAAGAGAGTTCACTGATACTTTGCCAGAGATGATGGAGAGATGCTCCAGACTTGTCATCCTGGGAGATTTCAACAAGGCCACTGATACCAAAGCCCAGAAACTCATCTCCTCACTTCCCTCCTGAAGGTGTTCACAGGTCATTTCTGGTTCCATCCATAAATCCAGTCACATCCTGGACCTGACCTTCAGGCTTTATGTCAGGATAGAGAACATCACAACCTAGCCACTATTTTGGACTGATCGTTGTATCATTAGGGCAGTGGTTTCAGACTTTCCATTGCCCACACAACAAGAAAGACTAGTGACCCTGATTCAACCATGGAGACTCATGGACTCCAACAAATTTCATAACCTTCTAAAGGACAACAGTACCCCACCTGCAGAATGAGGTGTTGAGGACCTGGTGAGTCATTGCCATTCCACAGTGGTCTCAGCCACTGCTGTGCTGACCCTCAGTTGATCCCCTTCTCCCCATCACCCATACAGATCTTGGTTTTCTGACACACTCTGTTCTGGATGAAGGGAGAAGGGGTGGAAACTTGAGTGCTGATAGTGGAAAACAAAGGCTGATTCAGATAGCATGAAAAAAAAATGGCTGGATGGGGGTGCTGGGGCTGTTTCTGGCCCACTCCTCT